GGCAGCAACATCACCTTTCAAGATGCCAAGATAGACAATTCAAAATGCAAATTTCAAAACAAATGTCCAGTATTATCAAACCAATTAGCTAGAATTTGAAATTTTATTCAAATTAAAAGGCTCGAATTCAAATTTCAGATACATATCAAGACACCCATGGATCTGGTGAAGGGGGAGATCCAGTGTTGGGATGTGTCGGATAGGAGAGAGAGAGGGGCTGGGGCTGTGCTTTTTCGAGGGAAGAGAGAGAGGAGAGGGGTTTGAGACAAAGAGCACACCCAACCCAGATGTAAGACAGAGAGAAAGAGAAGGGTGCCGAAAGGGATGGGTGTGGGGTGTCAGGGCTTAGAGGATGGGGGTGGCGCTGGCCTTTGTGATTACTTAGTTTTTTTTCCCTTCTTCAATTCTCTGGCTGGTCGTTCGTGTTAATTTTTTTTTCCTCTCTCTCTCTCTCTCTCTCTCAAATCTGTGCGATTTGGGGAGTTCAATTTTTTTTTCGTTCTTTTAATATTATTTTATTAAAATTTGTTTTATGTTTTAGTTTTTAAATACTTTTAAATATTTTATTAATATATTATTGGATGTGTGGCCCCATATATATGCCACATCAACATTTCAACAGAAAGATTCAAGGAAGCTAATGGAAGGGACCATTTTGATGTGCATAGTAAAACCTTAAGTACCATTAGTGTCACAAAAAAAAGGTTAATGACGAAAGGCGATAATTTGGTAAACCTCAAGGACCATTTGTGATAAAAAACCTTCTTAATTAGTAAACACACAATTATATCCAAATCAATCATATTCTTAGAGCAACTCCATCCATTTGCCTTTAGCCATGGCAATGGGGGAGCTAGGACAGCCACTATTCATGTGAATAGTGGTCGCCCTTGCAAATAGTATTTTGTGTTTCAATCCACTGCCATGGCTAAAGGCAATTATTATTTATTTTTTTTGTTTTTTTCACAATTTTTTTTACCTCAATAATTAATTTGGATAATATTTTCGGATAAAATTTTCGGGTTCCTACATGTCAAGACTATTCATAATCGGATAAAATTTCTGGATAAGATTTTTGGGGTTAAATTTCAGATGAATTTCAAATTTCCAGATAATATCTTCCATGGTGCTCCACGCCCCTCCGGTTTCAATAGAAGAAGCTATAAAAATAAGAAATAAAAATACAAAGTTGAGTAAAGAGTGAATAATAGTAGAAGTAGAATAAAAAGTATGAGAATTGGTATTGAAAGTGAAGGGTATTGATAGGTATTTATAGAAGAAAAAAAAAATCAGAATTCTTTTGTATTTAAAAAAAAAAATTCAATTTTTTTTCTTCATAATTTTATTGCCAAAAAAATGTCAGCCGTTGGATTGGATTCGGAGAAGTAGATCGGAGGAACCAGCGTGCGCCAACGGTAAAAAAAATTTAAACCAGCGTGCGCTGACTTCAGCGCCATGTCGCGCATGACGTCACAACACGTTGGCTCGACCTTGGGCTAAACTAGCCTTCGTGACAGGACCCGTCCTGAATTTCCCGGAACCCGAGACGAACCCTGTGGAATTCCCAATATCATCCCGATGTCGGGTCCACTTATGCAAACTTTAACTTCTTTCTCTTAAAAGAGTAAGGACACAAGACTTTTTGCCGAAATTTCGGCAGAGTCTCCCCTGTAAATTGAACATTTCCCCAAATTTCAACCTGCAGAAAATTCACATTTTAATATCCCAACCGACAGCATGCACAAGATAACAACATGCAATTCAACTAATTGGCCTCCGGCCTTCAAATACTTCAAAACAAATTACCAACACATTCCTTACGCCAAATAATATAATCAAACACACCTATGCAAGCCAAAAGTAATTTAAATCATTTAACTTTCCCAACCATTTAGCATACGAGGCTCCAACCTCCTAACACAACTGCATCTCACTTTCACCCAAATTCCGGGACCAACGACAAGGTCTGAACCAAACTCAACAAAGTACCTAATTAAATCTAATCTGCTCACTTAGTCCACCGAACAAGCCTCAATTCAACAAAGTTCCCGGACCAACAACGAGGTCCGAACAAATCTCAATATACAAGGCTAAAGTTTAGCTCGCGACTGCACCTAGTAACTTTAGGCTGCCTACGTACCTTTACTGAGGAATCAAGCCACACGTAGTTCTTTCTCTAAAACTCTTTTTCTTTAAATCACAATTCACCAAAACCTCCCCATACGTCGGAACATCCAAAGTCACGTATGGGGCCTGTTCGCACGCCGGATAAACCTGCGACACGTGGGACCTCATCATCACAATACAATATCACATATCACCCCTCATACGTCGAGACGCACCTGGCCACGTATGGGGTCTATCAACACGCCGGCTACTCCTACGACACGTGCGACCTCAACACAATATCACATATCACCTCTCATACGTCGGGACGCACCCGACCACGTATGAGGTCTGTCAACACGCCGGCTATTCCTACGATATGTGCGACCTCAACACAATATCACATATCACCCCTCATACGTCGGGACACACCTGGCCATGTATGGGGTTTGTCAACACGCCGACTACTCCTACGACACGTGCGACGTCACAAGCACATCACATAATCCCCTCATACGAAGGGACGCACCCGGCCTCGTCACTTGTGACCTCATCACAATATCACAATACCTTCCCTCATACGACGGGACGCACCCGGCCACGTATGGGGTATGTCAACACGCCGGCTACTCCTACGACACGTGCGATCTCATCACAATATCACAATATCTCCCCTTATACGACGGGACGCACCCGGCCACGTATGGGGTATGTCAACACGCCGGCTACTCCTACGACACTTGTGACCTCATCACAATATCACAATACCTTCCCTCATACGACGGGACGCACCCGGCCACGTATGGGGTATGTCAACACGCCGGCTACTCCTACGACACGTGTGACCTCACAAGCATATCACATAATCCCCTCATACGTCGGGACGCACCCGGCCACGTATAGGATTTGTCAACATGCCGGCTACTTCTACGACACGTGCGACCTCATCACAATATCATAATATCTCCCCTCATATAACGGGACGCACCCGATCACGTATAAGGTTTGTCAACACGCCAGATACTCCTACGACACGTGTGACCTCACAAGTATAGGGTGGTACTTACACGGGGGGAGAATCACTATCCAAGGAGGTACATAGGGTAGTGCGTATAGCACTCCAAACTGACATTCTAAACTCTTTTTATACCCTTATACATCCACACAATTTAATATATTAATTTCTAATATTGTAAACACCTTAACAACCATCTAGCATCCGATAATCCCCCGTAACCCACATAACATCAAGACCTGTCACTTCGGTCATTCTAACCCTCAAATAAGGGTAAAATTATCTCGGAAGTCTCACGGTCAACCTAGGGTCAAACGGGCCTGCGGGGCCCATGGCCTCCAAATTCCAATCCGAAAGTTCCTATAGGTTTTACAAGGTCTAAGATGCACGTCCTGCAAGTTTGGTCCAGATCGGACGGTCGGATCGCTCACGATCGCACGATCGGACAATTACTATAAACTTAACCATATGATTGACATTTTCGGAGTATCCGGGACTCCATTTTACAATCCATCGAATCCTACACGATCCTAGGAATGCCTAGATCAACATATATTAAATTGGAGTTAATCCAACGGTCCGAACCTATTGAACCCGGATAACCCACAATATGCGTAATCCGTTCGTGGTTCAAACGTCAACCGAATTGGAATCCGAAAGAACCCACGTGCTTATGAAAACCCGGAGATCACATCGGGACCCAAAGCCCTTTTTCTACAGTGCCCACGCGCAGCCACAATCGCCAGCAACGTGTGGGTGTCCAAAGCGATAACCCATCGCAGGAAAAACCAAAAATCAAGGCTCAAGACTCCTAGCCTAGGTAAAACACTCTATTTGGAGTCACTTTTGTTCTTAGGCATATCCCAAAAACTGACCGAAAGTGGCCGGAATCTCATCCCGAAATTCAGCCGAAATCCAATTCGAAGATCAGACATCCTACGCTCAAAATCGATGCAATCCTACCCAACTATCAGCTAGATCATGAGGAAGGGATGAATTTCCATACCTTGATCGCCAAAAAGGCAGCCGGATGACAGAGAACGAAGCAAGCGAAGTTTTTGTCAAAACTGAGCTTTTCCCTTCGATTTTCCGACGAAATCTTGACAACTGGGGACGGGACCTGACTGGGGTAGGAAGAGGACGGCGGCCCGGTCATTTTGGTACCGGCCCCATCAACTTTGGTGGCCGGATGAGCGAACGGCCGACCAAAATGTAGCCGGCTGTGGTGGCTGTCGCGAACCAGATGAGAGAGAGAGAGAGAGAGAGAGAGAGAGAGAGAGAGAGAGCGGGGGGGGAATCTGACTTTATCAAAAATCCCTTTTTCAAATAATTACGATCGTGCCACTGAGTTTCATTCGATCGTAACTCTCTCGTTACAACTCCGATTCGAGCCCACTACGTGTCTACGGACTCATCTCGTCATGCTCTACGCAACGGTACAACCGGAATTCCCAAATTCTTTTTGGATAATAAATGACCAAATTACCCCTATCCCAAGGGTAAATTCATAATTTCACTCAAATTAATTAAAATATGAGATAAATTTGGAGTCGGGGTGTTACACTTTGGGCTAGCCCGATTTCGTGGGACCCACTCCCAGTCAGGGCTTGAGCTCCCCGCTGGAACGACATTTTTTTTTTCTTTTCCCCCCAAGCTTTGGGCTCAGCTGACCGGTGGAACTGCTCTTATTGTTTAAAAATCATTTTGAATAAATTAGATAGGTTAAAATATGAGATATATGAAAGGAAATGACTCGGTTAACACATGACAGTGATAGTCCAACTTTTGGGCTGTGTAAATTACCAAAAATAAATAATTATATATTAATATAAATAAAAGCCTATTTGGAAGTATATGAATCAAATTTGTGGTTCCTGGCCAAAGTCTGTTGCTGTGTATTTGTTTTTGACGTTCTCCCAATTTTCCATGAGAATCAAAAGATCAGAGATGCTTGTATTAGACGAGAGCCACTAACGACGAACCAGTATTGTATTGTCCATGTCATAATTATTGCCGTTCTTACTTCTCCCTTACTAAATTACTAATACTATTCAGCCCCCTGCTCCGCTTTGTCTTAGCTTCTAGAGGAGTACTCAGTAGGAAGTCTGTTTCGTCAACGCAAATCTCCATCAGACTGATACACAAACACAAAGTTCCACCAGGCACCTCCTTCAAAGCCTCTCTCTCTCAAATCAAGTTTGAAGCTTTGATTGATCAAGGTTTTAACCTTTTGAACCTGAGTCAAAGATCCTTTTCAAATGCTCTTACTTGAGTGCAAATCATTTTTTCTTCCTTTTTGAATCTCAGAAACCAAAAAGCTCTCTTACCCAGAAGTCCAAATGGAGAAAAACCAGGAAATTGCACTGACTGAGATGAGGAAATCAGTTCAAAAGCTCGGGACTTCCACAGAGGTAGGAATGTTTTGCCTTTCTCAAACAGTGTAGCATATACATCATTCACTTTTAGTCCTTTATTTCATGGCTTTTTCTTGGCAGAAGTATGAAGACCCGACACTCATGAGGTTCTTGATTGCAAGATCAATGGACCCGGACAAAGCAGCAAAAATGTTTGTTCAGTGGCATAAATGGAGGGCCTCATTTGTTCCAAATGGGTTCATTTCTGATTCCGAAGTAAGTGATGCATTGGAAGACAGAAAGATTTTTTTGCAGGGTTTGTCTAAGGATGGATACCCATTGATGATTGTGAAAGCAAGCAAGCATTTTCCTTCTAAGGATCATCTCCAATTCAAGAGTAACTCGCTATTTCTATAACCTCATTATTTTCTTCTTGATTCAGTGATGCCTTTTGATCTAAAACTGTCCCTTTGTGTACCATCTTTAAAATGCACTAAAAGATAAGTTCAAACATAAAAGCTTTACTGAGTTGGAAAAGATGACTTTTGAATGTTGGCTGGGGTCTTTTGTTTTCTCATCGGCTGTAAGTATATACTGTCAAAAGGCAATAATATAGCTCGCCAGAACTGTGGTGAAAGTGGGTTTTGCTCCAGGCAACACTGTTTGTTGGTCACAGTTTTCGAAGTTATAACAGGAAGGGCAGATCTTCGACTTTTTATTTTTATTTTTCTCTTAACATATATCCACTAGGACTTTGTCACCTGGATGGTGGGGACTGATAGGTTTAAACCCCACAACCGCTGCAATTATTTGATTTAGAATACACTACAGTAATAAATATTGTGGACCAGTAGAGAAAGTCAAGCATGAATAATAGAAAGAAAATATTGGATGCAAATCGAAATTTTAACTTTTCTTTTCATGACAAGTCATTGGTGAGTTATTGATTCACTTTTGTTCTTCTCTTGTTGCAGAATTTGTGGTTCATCTGCTTGACAAAACAATTGCAAGGTATCTCTCAATTTAACTAACATTGATGTCTCTTCAAAACATAACTAAAGTAACCTTTTAATGAGGTGCTTGAAAGGCATGATTGATGAAGCAAGAATGCCTGTCATACTCAGGATTATGATTCTTTAGAGCCATTATATGATAGCGATTGTCATAGAAATGTTGTCAATGCTCCTTTTTGTCCCAGTATTGTCTTTTAAAATAGTATACATGTTCCTGCAATGCCAGTGCGGTCAAATTGTTGATAGGAGGATTCGATGTTAGGCGATATGTGAAATTTATGTCAGAAATATTTATAAGTGATCTACTAGATGAGAAAATTTGTTGCTCTAAACCTGAAAATCCATTGACGGATGGAAGCACTGTTAATTTTAATTGATGTATCTTTGTTTTGCTTGTCTAGCTCTTTCAGAGGACGAGAAATTGGAAATGAAAAGTTGATCGGCATTCTTGATTTGCAACAAATTTCATACAAAAATGTTGATGCACGTGGATTAATCACTGGATTTCAATTTCTACAGGTGACTCTAATACTTTTCTTTTCTAGAATTTAGTGTGGGAAAACCTTTTAAGAGGCAGAGAACAAGAATAGTTTAAAAGGAAGTAGTCAGGAAAACATGGTGATGGTTTACTTATATGATTTTTCCTGTCAAACTTGCACAGATATTTAAAGGGTGCTACAGCTGCATGCATAGTGCAGTGTACAATCCTAATAAGTAAACTATACATGTTCAAGCAATTGTATCCAATAACTTCAGAGTTCTTTTGATACATTTTGCGCTTCTCTTTTCCTGCTGCTAAGCTTCTCAATAAACTGATGTAGCTGTCATCTTGCTTCATTATCTTCTTACATAACTGTCGACTATGCATAACCTTAAATGTCCACTTCAAAATTCTGGTGTAAATGTGATTAGAATCCCTCCATGAAGATTAAGACGCTATTTTGGGTAGGGAGACAAACCTGTGTGTGTTGTAAGAATCCCCTGGTCTGCGGAGAGAATTTTTTTGGCTATACAATAAATGTTACTTAATTGCTTAAAATTTGTGCAGTCTTACTACCCTGAGCGGTTAGCAAAGTGCTTCATCTTAAACATGCCATGGTTCTTTGTAAGTGTCTGGAGGATGGTTTCTCGCTTCCTTGATAAGGCAACAGCAGAAAAGGTATTTTTTACTGCCATGGTTCCCCATAATGTTAAAGCATTTGAAGTAGTTATCTAAGTTTGTGATCGTGACTGCAGATTGTAATTGTGAGCAATGAGGATGAAACAAAAAACTTCATAAAGGAAGTTGGTGAAGAAACCTTGCCAGAAGAGTATGGTGGACGAGCAAAGCTTGTACCTCTCCAAGATGTTGTACTGGCACCAATGGAGGATTTACTCTACAAATAAATCGGGCCGCTCTAGCAGTCCATCTATCTTCGAGGCAGACTCGGAAACCGTTAATCCGTTATACCTGTCGACAAGACAAAGATAACCGGTGGTAGGCAGTTTCAGCCTGGTTCTCCTTGTGACGAGTAGCAATTAGTGGTACATGTATGAGGGGAGGGCTTCCTTCTCATACTCTCATGTTCATGTAATACAACAACGAAAGGTACTCCATGTAAAAGATAATATTTGAGCTTAAATATTTCTTGTTAACCTGTTATGTTTACTTGAAGACTGATGCTTCTGTCCAAAATTCAAAATGAATGAGGACATTGGAGCAATTGAAGTATTTAATGATCATGATACTCTGGGTTCCTAGTCAAACTTTTCTTTCTTTGTTTCTTTGATTTATTTATTTGTTATTTTTTGGCTTTTAACATTGCACCCACTCCACACTTGACAACCAACTCTGACCGGCGCATATACAAGGAAGGAGGACATTCTGTTCAGGCTATGACATTACTGATATTTTTCTCAAAAACAGTCGTCCAATATATAAGCAAGCACACAGGACACAGCTGTGAAATGAAAAAAGATTTGATTTTATTGCTGAAGGGTAACTGACCCAAAAAGAAAAGGAAAAGGCATAAAGAAATCTATTTTTAGCTTGACCGTTAAACTAATTTATTATAGTAAAGAAGTAAACTGAATCCTGTGTGCATATACCACGTGCTGTTTCAACTGCGACAGGACACCGTATATATTAGGAAGAAGGGGTTTAAGTGAACACAACAAAACTCAAAACCCCACTCCGCCGCCACAACTCTCTCCTCTGTTACACAACAAAACTCAAAAATCCTAGTCCGCCGCCACTAGTTGTCTCAAAATGGCCACTTTTACTCACCACCACCACGGTGCCCTTCTCAAGACACCCCTCTCCGGCCGGGCTCGGATCCCCGGATCCAAGGCCAGGCCCGGCCCATTTAGAGTCCGAATGTCTCTGCAAGAGACCGGCCCTTCGTTGGCGGTGGTCGGCGTCACCGGCGCGGTGGGTCAGGAGTTCCTGTCGGTCCTCCAAGACCGTGACTTCCCTTTCCGTTCAATCAAGATGCTCGCATCCAAGCGCTCCGCGGGTCAGAATTTGAACTTCCTGGGTCAAAACTACGTCGTTGAGGAGCTCACCCGTGACAGCTTTGACGACGTCGACATCGCTCTCTTCAGCGCCGGTGGGTCAATAAGTAAAGAGTTTGGTCCCCTTGCCGTAGAGCGTGGCACCATTGTCGTTGATAATAGCTCCGCTTTTCGTATGCAAGAAGGCGTGCCGCTTGTGGTCCCTGAAGTCAATCCGGAGGCTATGGAGGGAATTAAGGTTGGGAGAGGAAAGGGCGCGCTCATTGCGAACCCTAATTGCTCCACCATTATTTGTTTAATGGCTGCTACCCCTCTTCATCGCCATTCTAAGGTTGGCAATTGTTTGGCTTTTTGTGATTTTGGTACTTGTTTTGGAATGGGTTTTTTGTTGGATTTGGTTTTGTAGCTTTTAATTGGTTGCTTTGTCATTTTACTTGGATTTTGTTGAACTTTTTGTTGGAGCTACAATGTTGGTTGCTTTGGTGTTAAATTAGAATTTTGGAATGTGACTTCTGTGTTGGGATTTTGTGCAAATACTGGTGTTACATTGGGTTATGGATGGTTTTGCAGGTATTACGTATGGTGGTTAGTACGTATCAGGCTGCTAGTGGTGCTGGTGCTGCTGCCATGAGAGAACTTGAGCAGCAAACTCATGAGGTTTCTTTTACTTGTTCTCTTTCGTTGTCTTGGTTGCCTTTTTTATATTGGATTTTATCCTTGAAGTAATGCAATTTAATTTCTGTATTAAGGTCCTGGAAGGGAAGCCGCCAACTTGTAAGATATTTCAGCGGCAGGTCTGTCTATTTGTTGCGAATTTTTCAAGCTTGTTGTGGAAATTTAAATTTGTTTTCCATGAAGCACCACTGAACAACCCATTTGCCTTCACTTTTTGCAGTATGCTTTTAATTTGTTTTCACACAATTCGGCAGTTCTTCCAAATGGATATAATGAAGAGGAAATGAAATTAGTCAAGGAGACACGAAAAATATGGGTTAGTTTCTTTAGTAGTTTTCTTATCAGTCAGAGCAATTTGATTGGAAGTCAGCTTGTAAGTATGAAGATGTTAATGTTATAGGGATATATAAGATGTATTCTTTGTTCATTGCTTCAGAATGACACCAATGTCAAGGTAACTGCCACATGTGTACGAGTTCCTGTCATGCGGGCACATGCTGAGAGTATAAATCTTCAATTTGAGAACCCCCTTGATGAGGTAATACTACAATGCTGTCATATTATGTAGCTTTAAGTCAATGGTGAAATTTCCCTTTTCTCAATAGTTCTTGTTTTGGTGGAGGCATTGATGATTTTTCACTTTGTACATCTTGAGTTTTTCATTTGCATGGCGATTCTTTTATATTTCCTGGGATTTTGGACGATTCTTTTATCCTATTTATAATGGTTTGATCAGGTGAACTTATTTGACTCTGCTTTCATTCTCTCTCCAACTTCTTCCCTGCACATAAGTACTCTGGTGTAGCATTTGGTTTCGCTCGACTTCTGTATTTACCTATCTACATAGAAAAACATTGTTGAAGGTGTAAAATGCATATGTGACATTTATCCCTGTGTACTGGTCATATGTGCATGCCTTTTGGAACTCGGGGCCAGGCCTCATTGAGATAAAGTGATTTTTGCTGAATTCTCTAATGGTCGAGTGATTCTTTGGCAAGTTCTCCTTTGAATTTTAAATTTATTCTCTGTCCAGGACACCGCGAGGGATATTCTGAAGAAAGCTCCTGGGTTGGTGATTATTGATGACCGGACATCTAATAATCCGTCGCGATGTATCCCAAGAGGGGAACTATGGGTAAGACTACTGGTACAGATTTTTCTTTCTAACTGTATATTTTAACAAGCCACTAATGGCATTCTTTAAGCAGGTTGGACATCTTTGTCTGTGGTGATCAAATACGCAAGGGAGCTGCACTTAATGCTGTTCAGATTGCTGAGATGTTGCTATAGTTGAACTTTAATTCCAACCGTGAAACAGGTTTCACAGTATAAATCTATTTGCGAGAAGAGATGAAGTGATTTGAGTTGATTATACTTTAATCTGCAGATGTGGACACGAGATGAGCTCCAGCAAATTCAAGCTGTTTTTGTAGAATAAGATATTAGGCTTATTAGTAATTATTCTAATTTTTATAAAACAATGTCATTCTCAAGTGTTAGCATAATATCCTTCCATTTTGAGGGGAGTTTTGTTATAATAATCTTGTATTTAAAGATAACAAATTGTATGTGTGCTGTTCCAAATGTTGTATGCCAAAAGAATTTCACTCTCTTGCTTTCTTGAAGTACACAAACTAGTGTAGATTTAATTAGCAAGGGAAGTTTTCAGGTTTTTGGAATTCAATTGGCTTCTGATAGGCTGCAGATATAAACGCCTTAAATCACCAGCTTAGTTGATCATGAATAATTTAGATAAAGAAGTTTGTGACATGAGAAGCTCACTCATATGAAAGCACTTGCTAGGTGGTTAACAATTTGTTAAATATTCATATGGATTAATTGTCCAAATTTCGCAATCAACCCATTTAACAGTTTTCTTCCCAAATGCTGCATGAAAAAAAAGAGGCCTACTAACTAGGATGGTGAGTAGTGGATGGCTCCATATAACTCCTTTTGGAGCAAGTTCCATCTTTCCAAAAAGTACCCTAAAATAATCTAGTCTATTAGTGCTTTTAGACAAAGCACTTATTCTAATTCATCCTCACTCAGTCTCAAGTATATGCTCTCTCCTTCTCTGGTCCAAAACCTTGCTCAGCAAGGGGCAAAGTTCCCCAGCCCATTTCCCATGTGAGATTCTAGAACATTCTTTGCCAAAACTTCTCATAAGGACTAGCACATCATGATTGGTTCAAAACTTCAAGAAGGTTATTGGCAAATATTATACTTTAATTTAAGAACAAAAATTGCCAATGCAATTTTAAAACAGTCCCAACTAGGATGGTGAGTGGTGGATCATGGATGGCTCCATCTAACCCCTTTCCAAGCAAGTTCTATATTTCAAAAACTACTCCATATACTCTATTCTATTGATACATTACTGTTTCTAACCTTGCTCATCAAGGGGTAAGGACAAGTATTCCTAATCACGGAGAGTATAGGTGCCCACTGCCAATTGGCAATGTGAGATTGTAGAATATTCTGAGCAAAGACTTCTCCCAAGGACTAAGACCTTATGTCTGGTCCGGTAAAAAACTTCCAGAAGGTTCTTGGCCAAATGTTCAATTTCATTTTAACTAGCAGCTTGATTCACCATCCTTAAGCTAAATTAAGTGTTACCACCACAACACAAATTTGATTTATGAACTTCTAAGTACACTTAATCTCAAAAGTTTCTTTAATGCAAAAGTTGTACACATATATGAACAACATTATTGACTATCTTATAAAGCTAAAACTTACACGAAACATGATGTATCTTATATGTCTCTCCTCACGTGATGTTACATTACAAGAGAGACAAACATTTAAGTCATAAAAATGAAATAAAATTCAAATCAGTAGTGAAAAAAATATTTGTCAATATTGTGTAGCATTAGTTGTCTATCATGATATTGCCACGTGTCACAATACAAAAGTATTTTTAATGCAAATAAATGTACAAACATATATGAACGACATTATTGACTATCTTATGAGGGTAAGACTTATACAAAGCAGGGTGTATCCCATATGTCTCTCCTCACGTGATGTCACGTTACAAGAGAGGCAAACAATTACGTCATATAGATGAAATAAAAGTTAAATGAGTAGTGAAAAAATAAATAAAAAATTGTTAATACTGTGTAGCACTACTTGTCTATCGCTATGTTGCCACGTGTCACAATACAATTTGATACCTTCCCCTTTTTGAAAAAAGTGGCTCCTCGCCACGCAATCTTCGCCATTAGAGCATCAACAGTGGGGGGCACAGCGGCAAAGGAGGAAATGAGCAAAATTGTTCCAAGATCGGGGCGTAACATGTGGTGGCGGCGAGATTGCAATGATGAGAGGCCCAGGGGCCCCCGGGCCCAAGGCCAATCTTTTGATTAATTACATATATATTAATTAACCAGTGAACACGTAATTCTCACATATTATTGAATAAAAATGATATATACTAAGGGAAAAAAATAGTATAGCCGCCCGGCTATACGCAACAACCGTTTCATCATTTACGTTGATAGTAGACAGGAGGGCTGTTTATAATGCACTGAGTTATTGTTTGGATTAGCCCTTTCAAATCTTGCTCATACACTAGACAGATCCCACACAGTTCAACCTCCACACCTTCAGTAACGGAGCTAAAAGCAGCAATAATAGCAGTGCCCTGAGAAGGTTCAATGGCCAGCCGACTTGGGCTCACCACCACCACCTTACTTCAATGCTGGCATGTTTATCTATGAGCCTCGTCTTCCGACTTACTATGATCTCTTAGAGACCGTCAAAGTCACCCCTCCTTCCTCATTTGCCGAGCAGGGTGTATGTTAAATATACACCCCAAGTCACTAGAATTGTCTCTAATGGAGAGATGTAAATTGATGTAAATATACATCACCACCATGGGAATGTAAAATAAAATGTATATTTACATATATTTTTACATCTCTTGCACGCAGGACCCACCCGAGAAAAGAGAGGAAAAATGAAAAAAAGTCAACATAAAATGCTGGGACCCACGGCTACACCCTGAATTTACACCCTCTCATTGGAGCAAAAAACATATTTACACCCCCCGGAGGTGTAAAGGGGATGTAAAAGTGGCTTTACACCCCCGAATTTACATCCCCCCCACTGTGGATGCTCTTAGGATGTTATGTCATTGCTGCGAAGCAGGGGATCGCGGCAGTCGTTATTCTACTCATTGGCGCCAATAGGACAACTGCCATGACAAGTTTTTTTTCTTCGCTGCTAAAACTGCCATGCCAAGTTTGAGATTTTATTTCCCTGCTACAACTGCCATGGCAAGTTATGTATAGTGTGCTTGTTTTCCCTATATGTATAGTGGTATCATGAGCTTTGCTTCTTACACAGCAGCCTTTGGTCGTATCTCAGTATCTCAAGTGCTTACATTCCAAAAATTCAAGGTCAGACTTTTTTCTCATTTACATTTGCTTGAAAATTGAAATGCCAGGCCCTTGCTTTCTGTTCTATATTCTGTTTACTTAATTTTTTTGAGCTCAGTTATTTACTTTGGAGAATTGGTTTTTCTTTCTGCTTTATTTATATCAATTTGTACGTTGAATCTGCAGCAGTTGCCATCAACATTACGAAAATGGTTAAGACAATTCAATTGTATGGATTTTTCTCCAGCGAGTCTCCAGCAGCAGTGACAGAATTTCTGGAGGCATATACTGGAAAAGGAACTGTTCATGCTATAAAGTTTCTTCCTCCCAAAGATGGAAAATCAAGAACACTTGCCATAGTTCAGTTCACAGATGCAAAATTTGCTGGTATCATAATTCCATTAGCCGATGCTAGAAGCCTGTGGTACAATAAATCTTATCTGAAAGCTAGAAAAGCGAAGTTTGACATGGTGCCCAACTCAGAAATCTTTGAGCACTGCATGGAACTTGTACAACTTCACTTGGGATGCCTGATTTCTGAGGGACAGTTTTCTGTGCTTTGGACAGCATTGGATGTTTCAGTGAAATTCGGGAAGGAATTTAAAAAGATCTACTTATTGTTATCTCTTGATGCTGTTGAATACAAGCTAGAGATCTCCTCTGAAAGTATTCGCCAGATTGAGCTACATCATCCACGTGGCGAACTTCCAAACTTTCTTCTAATCCAGGTTTGCCAGTTAAACTACAGAATTTGTGAATCATGACTTTGCATTTTGCCATGAAATATACAAATTTTAAATATTAAATTTAGCAAGTGATCAACGTTCATAAGTTGATTAATATGTAAACTTAAGTCATCCACATCAAGAAGCATGAAACCGTGGCATTTAGCTCTGTTTAATATGAGATCATTCTTCAAAAGCAACAACAATTAAACTTGGATAATTATTTAAAGTCTTGTCAAGGTTGACCATTTACCAGTTGCAGTAGATACTTGAATAAGATGTTTTCCATTCTCTAGTTCTTACATGATAATCTGATCTCATGTCAAATTTCTCAAACACTATAACTTCATTGTTTCGGCGATTTCCTTGTAGCATAGCAGAATTACTATATTATGTCTGGAACTTGGGGCAAATGACTAACATTGTGCTCCTCCTTTCTTCTTTTTCTTGCCAGTTACTTGGTGCCCCTCGGATTTTCAAGAAAGCTTCTCAAAATGGCTGGGTTCGAGAAGTTGATTTCACTCCTTCACGCTGCATTGGGCAATCTTCTGTTGTATGTTTGGAGCTTCCACCTACTTGTGAGCTTCCAAATTTACACAAGAATTATGCTTGTTATAAAGAAAATGAAGGGCAGTTGGTTCTGGAGAGAGGCAACACTTTCTCCTGTACTTCAGATCTGGTTCCTATCGTGGGTCCACCCCTTGGCATTAACTTGCCATACAAAATCCTTTTTAAGATCAATTCCTTGGTTCAGCATGGATGTGTTCCTGGGCAAGCACTTGATGTCAATTTTTATAAGCTAGTGGATCCTAGCATAATAAGAACTGAATATATAGAGTGTGCCCTGGACAAGCTGTTTCGGTTAAAAGGGTGCTGCTATGAGCCTGTGAGTTGGCTTACTGAGCAGTACAAAGAGTACATGGCATGCAAGCGAATTCCTCAGTCGCCAGCTATTTCTTTAGATGATGGGATGGTGTATGTGCACAGAGTTCAAGTAACACCATCTAAAGTTTACTTCTGTGGTCCAGAGGCAAATATATCCAATCGTGTTTTACGAAATTATCCTGAAGATGTTGATAATTTCCTTCGTGTTTCTTTCGTGGATGAGGACATGGGTAAGATGCGTTCAGGAGATTTATGTCCACGGACAAATTCTACAACTTCAACAGAAGAGGAAAGGAGAACTGGAGTTTATGAAAGAATACTTTCTACTCTAAGAAATGGCATAGTCATTGGTGAAAAGAAGTTTGAGTTTCTTGCCCATTCGTCGAGTCAATTACGAGAGCATTCTGTGTGGATGTTTGCTTCTAGAAGTGAGTTGAGTGCACAAGACATCAGAAATTGGATGGGTGATTTTAGTGACATAACAAATGTAGCAAAATACGCTGCCAGGTTGGGTCAGGCTTTCAGCTCTTCAAGGGAGACTTTTGATGTTGGTAGGGATGAAATTGAATTCATTCCTGATGTAAAAACTGAAAGAGATGGAGTCACATATTGTTTCTCTGATGGAATTGGGAAGATATCTACTGAGTTTGCTGGAAGCGTGGCAAGCAAGTGCGGCAAAAGTACTACTCCATCCGCCTTTCAAATTCGACTCGGTGGCTATAAAGGTGTTGTGGCAGTTGATCCTACATTGTCAGCGAAGTTGGCACTGCGAGATAGCATGTGCAAGTACCAATCCAACAACACAAAACTCGATGTTCTGGCATGGAGCAGGTACCAACCTTGCTTCCTTAATCGTCAACTGATCACCCTTTTGTCCACCCTCGGAGTCCCCGATCTTGTTTTCGTGAAAAAGCAAAACGAGGCTTTGAAACAATTGGAAGGTGTTTTGGCTGACCCATCAAGAGCACTGGAAGCACTTGAAATGATATTCCAAGGAGAGATCACCGACGTTTTAAAGGAAATGCTTGCGTGTGGTTATAAGCCAGAGGCAGAACCATTTCTGTCATTGATGCTACAAGCATTCTGTGCATCCAAGCTTGTGGAGTTGCGGACCAAGACGAGGATATTTGTTCCAAATGGAAGATCCTTGATGGGATGCCTAGATGAAACCGGGACACTGGAATATGGCCAGGTATTTGTGCAGTGTTCTCAACGTGCCTTCTTCGGTGGCAATAGCAATAGCAGCGCTACTTCAAGCGAAGACAATTTCATTGTTGAGGGAAACGTAGTGGTTGCTAAAAACCCCTGTTTACATCCGGGAGATGTTCGTGTTCTTAGGGCTGTGAACGTGCCCGCCTTGCACCACATGGTGGATTGTGTAGTCTTCCCTAAAAAAGGAAACAGGTTAGTGACTTTGTCAAATCTTTTAGTTGTTGAAATTTTAAATTTGTTTCAAATTGCACCTGCAAGAATTAGTGTTTCTCTGTTGACTTTAAACTATTCACGTACTGACTGTGTTTCTTTCCTTGTGCTGTATTAGGCCTCATCCGAATGAATGCTCTGGAAGTGACTTGGACGGAGATTTTTACTTTGTCAGTTGGGACCCTGATCTGATTCCTCGTCGGCAAGTTCGACCCATGAATTATATCCCAGCACCAACTATTGAATTGGGTCATGATGTGACAATGGAGGTATTTCTCAATTCATCAAGTAAAATGTAGTCAATGATATTTGAAAGATACACACTTCACTTGTCGAATCTTGTCTCTGCCTTATTCATTGTGTTCTGTTGTGTTTGTTACAGGAGGTTACAGAGTCATTTACCAACTACATAGTGAACGACAACTTGGGGATCATTTGTAATGCACATACTGTCTTTGCAGATATAGAGCGAAAGAAGGCTACCAGTGCTCCATGTATCAAGCTCGCCAAGCTCAGCTCGCATGCTGTTGACTCTCCGAAAACTGGTGTGGTAGTGGAAGTGCCACACTGTCTACGTGTCCACAAATACCCAGATTTCATGGAGAAGGTTGACAAACCCACCTACGAGTCAAAACGTGTGATTGGGAGGCTTTTCCGACAGGTGAAACATGTTGAGCTTGCATCGGATTCACCTTCAAACTCGGGCTCAATTAAATCCTTCACCATGGAAGTTGCTATGAAGTTTTATGACCCTGATATGGTGGTGGATGGATTTGAAGACTACGTCAAAGATGCCATCAATTACAAAAGTGACTATGACTACAAGCTGGGAAACCTGATGGATTACTACGGCTATAAAACTGAAGCCGAAATACTAAGTGGGAGCATCACTGCAGTATCAAAAAATTTCAACAGGGGAAAAGACTTGGAGTCGATTCATTACGCTATAAAGGCATTGAGAAAGGAAGCTAGGACCTGGTTTGATGAGAAGCTGGGAATGCAGTCGGATATGAAGCCCGATATCAAAGATGTAGAAGCAGCAAAAGCATCAGCTTGGTACCATGTTACATATCATCCTGATTACTGGGGTCGCTGCAACAAGGGAATGGAAAGAGATCATTTCCTGAGCTTTCCATGGTGTGTGTTTGACAAGCTCATCCAGATCAAGAGGAGAAACTCTTCACTTAAGTAATCATTGAAGCGCCATGACACTTGAAAAAGTCAGCATTGGGAGTTTGTTGGAAAATCGAAAGACGTTGTTAGCTAGCTGTTTGTGTTTTCCCTTGGAACAAAGTACATAAATATGATTTGTAATGTTTTCTTTAAGCTATTGAAGAGTGTATGTAAGTAATTTAGTTTATTAGAATTGCTTTCTGACTGGTTGTAAGTGGCTACCCTGTCTGTCATCACTTAGTCCTTATAGTTAGCTTCATTGATTTTGACTGACTTTTCGATTCTTTCTTTATTTTAGTAGGCATTATGTAGTTCTAGATCTAGTGAGTGTATATGCATCATTCAGAGTGTAATTGATTGGTGCACACTGGATTGGTGCCTGGAACTCCTTGCTGGGGAAGTTCACTACCTGTAGTCAAAGTGCATAATGCATCATTCAGAATAAAATAAAATAAAGTGGAGAAAGTAAAGTATAGTGTCTGGACTTTGGAGTATTATGGTATGGTGCTTGGAACTCCTTTGCTGGGGAAGTTCACTTCCTCTAGTCAAATGTCAAATCTATTTCACTTTTTCTGATAATAATTCACCAAAGATAAAAAGTATACGCTGGTCCCACCAATAATAACTCATTCAGAAAAATCCACTCCTAACAGGATAATATTATTTTGTTATTCCTAATTAATAACATAATCACACGTTAACAAATTATCTCAACAAAAAAATATTATCCTCGTTGCATGAAAATTTTCCTCCTAGCAAATAACATGATCATCATCTAATCTAATGGTGGTGGAGATAAAATACTAGTCAGTTATAGTTTAAATTATTTAAATTAATTTTATTAAGCGACTCGTTTCTTTTTTCTTTTTTGAGAATGCAGCACTCACGAGTCACATCCTTGATAAAGAAAAGGGTTATTACTTTCACTCATATACATATCCTAATTTTCTGATTTAATGAATAGATAAGGGGTCCTTCCCCGGGAAGTTCACTTCGCGGTCCCACCACCACCACTATATTCGATAATTATATGCCGGTCCCACCAAAGCTTTTTTGATCAAATTTTTTTTAAAAAAAAAAGAAAAAAAAATGCCTTTTCTTTTCTGGTAAAGCTAAACTAGAATGCGTTTAGCAAAGCTACAAAAGACACAAATCCTAGAATGCCAACGTATGTTTCTTGTTGTACTATTAGAGGAGGACTTGAGTTGAGCCTCATTGAGTCCTGCAATCCTAGCATGTAGAGTATGATAGCCCATTGGGTGGCAAAGATTACTCCAACGTCAGCTGCACACGTCATCATAAATATATATAGGGCAGAGGAGATAATACCTTACTTCGTCTACTGTATTTGGAGTGAGTGTAGAGAAGACTTGAGCGTGTAGAGGCAGAGGATGTGAGTTTGTTGACTGAAAAAGGATAACTGTGAAGTTGACTACGGATTGACTACGAAGAGATTCTGTGTTTGATCGAACTTGGAAGTTGGCTAAGGTTTGGTTATCCTTGATTTTCCTTTGGGTTTTTTTTTTTCCTGATCACTCCTTGTTCTGTTCTGTTCTGTTCTTTCCCTGCATCATTGGAACAATGTGAGTTAATTTTCGCTACGATGTTTTTTGCTTTTTCTTTTCTTTTCTTTTTCACTCTGTTCTGATCTGAGATATAAAGTTTATGGATGTAATGGGTTTTTGATACTATAATTTTTGTTGGTGAGTGATAAGTTTTGTTTGATCAAGTTTTTGTTGGTGAGTGATAATTTTTGTCTGTTGTTTGATCCTGTTTTGCCTTTTCTTTTAGCTTCTCCCTGATAACTCTGTGTCCCTTAAGCTTCCTGGATCACTGGAACAATTCGAGTTAATTTGCCCTGTCTCATTTGTTTTGAAGTCTTTAATAAATCTATGGGTGGTCAAGTTCTTGGATGTGTTGGGTATTTGGTGCTTAGTTTTGTTCAATTAAACATCTTTACTTTTGGTGTGCTGCTCTCAACTGCAAGTGCATAACAAGTTGTCATGTTGTTCTTTCTGATTGGCGATCGTCTAAAACATAATCATATTTTTACTTGTTAGGTTGCATATATTTCATTCTTTGTCTCTATTTTTGGATGAGTTTGTTTCTTGCTCGGTAAACCCTAATTACATGCATTATCAATCTTTGGTGCTTTGTGATATGAGATTCATATTTGTTCTTAGCTTAGTAATCTCAACAATTTAATTTCTTTACCTTTTCTTAGATTCATAGAGGCTTTCTGGTTCTTGACTTCTCAAGTTCCATAAAATTCTTCCAGTACAGTTCACTGTTATGCATTTCTAATGACTGAAATGTTTTGGGTGCATAAATACAGTGACTATACTCACATGACAAGATGGTTAAGACGATACAGTTGTATGGATTCCCTTCTGGTTTATCCGCAGAAGCAGTTTCGGAATTTTTGGAGCCAATTACAGGAAAAGAATCTGTTTATGCTGTGAAATTAAGAGAAGCCCAAAATAAGAGAATGTATTATGCTATTGTCCAGTTTGCCAAGTCCAATGATGCTGAGGATATTATCTCCATGGCCAACAACAATGCCCTGAGGTATGGGAGGAACTATCTGAATGCTCGGAAGATGGAGCGTGACATTGTACCGAGGCCAAGAACCTTTTTGCATAGGTTGGAAGACATAGGATTGCATTTTGGCTGCAAGATTGCGCATGAAAAGTTACATGTTCTGTGGACTGCGAATGATGTTTCTGTGGACTTTGGGATTAAACTGCGAAAATTTATTTTTCTTCTGAAATATCATGATTTGGAATATAAGCTTCAACTCTCCTATGAGAACATTTATAAGATCGAGGTGCATTCTCCACGTGGTCGTACTGCTGCTAAGTATCTTCTGATTCAGGTTCTTCACCTACTTTTTAGTTATTGTTGGAATCCAAATTATTTATTCTCTGAATATTCTTGGCATTCATTTAATCTTCTTTCTGTTTAAGATTGGATAGTTTAGCGGGTCATCCACATGGTTAATTTGCTGCTCAATATATGCGATCTTTGTTCTGTTTTTTTATATTAAA